TTAGAGCCTCAGGGCCTAGATCCCTGGGGTGGAGAAGCTATTTAGAGAAAGATGATTGATGGGAGCAAGGTCCCCAAGAGGGGCTGAGGAGATGGAATCTAATCAGAAAAATGTCTTTGTTTATAATCACCCTCTTACTGTACACACACCAATTTGCATACGTGTATGATCGTACAGGCTGAATATCCACAAACTGGAAAGCTTCTAAATCTAAAACTTGAGTATGGACGTGACTGCACAAGTGAGACACAGATCCTACACCTGATTTGAGGGATCGGTGCCAAGCAAAGGCATATGAACGACACCAGATATTGCATATAACTGCGTACAAAATATAAACTGCAATCTGTGTGAGGGTGTCAGATCTTGGAGTTACAGTTGTTAGCTGTTATGTAGGTGTGAGCTGCCATGTGGGTCCTGGGGATTGAACCTATGTCCTCTGGAAGAGCAGTCAGTGCTCTAACTTCTGAGCCATCTCTCCAGCCCCTCTACAGGGCTACTCTTACCCCTTCTAGCTTCTAGAGACAACCACAAGGGCTGGGGATGTGGTCCAGTTTTGGAAACCTTTTTTTTTTTTTTGGTTTTTCGAGACAAGGTTTCTCTGTGGCTTTGGAGGCTGTCCTGGAACTAGCTTTTGTAGACCAGGCTGGCCCTGAACTCACAGAGATCCACCTGCCTCTGCTTCCCGAGTGCTGGGATTAAAGGCGTGCGCCACCAACGTCGGGCCAGTTTTGGAAACCTTGACTAGAGGTAACCACATGCCTTGACTTGTGACCCAGTTTCTTCATCCAAAACTGGCACCACCACATGCCTCTGACTTTTGTACAATCGTCCTCTACTTCTAACCATAGTCAAGGGACTGGGGCTGTCGCTCAGGGATGGAGTGCTTACCTACCACGTGAGGCTCTGGGTTCCCCGAAGCAATGTACAAAAAAACAATGAAGCATACTTAGTAAATGCTGTCTACTTTTAAGAACTCCCGTAGTTAGGTTAGGTGAATTGGGGAACACAGTGTGATCATCCCATTTTAAGATCCTTAACCTTAGTCAGGTGTAGTTGTGCACACCTTCAATCCCAGCACTCGGGAGGCAGTAGCAGGTGGATCTCTGGGTTTGAGGCCAGCCTGGTCTACAGATCGAGTAACAGGACAGCTATGGCTGTTACATAGAGAACATGTATCTCAAAGAAACGCCCCCGCAAAATCCTTAACCTTACATTTTTTAGCTTCCTGTGTCAGGCAAGATAACATACAAATATGGGCACCTCTGGGGGCCTTTACTCTGCCAACCATGCTAGAACTGAGTGTGAGATTCTTTTTTTGGGGGGGGATCATTCTCTGTGTAGCTTTGGAGGCTGTCCTGGAACTCACTCTGTAGACCAGGCTGGTCTCCAGCTCACATAGATGTGTCTGCCTCTGCCTCCCGAGTGTTGGGAGTAAAGGCATGCACCATCACTGCCTGGCTATGAGGTTCTCATTTCAAGAGGCCATTTAGAAACAGGAACAAGTATTTAATATCGGAAAGTTTGGAGCTGGAGAGATGGCTTAGTAGTTAAGAGCACTCTCTGTTCTTTCAGAGGATCCATACTAAGTTCCCAGCACCCACACATCTGTAATTCCATTTCTAATGGATCTGATCCCCTCCCTTTATGGCTTCCATGGGCACTGCGCACAAGTGGTATACATATATACATGCAGGCAAACGTATATGTAAAACAAACGTAAATACATTTTTAAGTTAAAAAATATTGGAGCTTTGATATGCATAGTTGAGTTGGGAAAGATACTTGATTATATAGGTAAACTAGGTTCTAAAGGCCTGGTGTGTGGGTGTGGTGTATAGAGGCTAAAAATGGCCCACTGGTAGTTTGGGGAAAACTTGCCTTTTCAGTCTGCAAAGAGACATATAGATGAAAAATGCATTTTAACTGTGCTAAGGAAGGAATAGATGAGCATTTTGAACCAAACATTAGAATAGGAAATAAGGTGGTATCCCAACTTCCAGGTTCTAGATAGGATACTAGTAACCACACAAAAGGGAGGAAAGCCTAAATATTTTCATTTTACAGGAGCTTGTGGGATTAACATGCCTCATAGGGAATTCCTAGGTTATAATTTACAAAACTATATTCAAGACTGGGTTCTGAATTCATCTGATTTGTGTCTCTTCTCTGTTAGCATGTCGTCTCTGGATATACGTATTACCACATAAGTGAACTCTCTGTAAAGCATGGTGGCCAATTCTTGGTGACAAAATAGTATTTCTTGGCAATCATATTTCCAAAGATAGAAGACAATTGGTAAGAAATACTATTCTAGGGACTGGCAAGGTGGCTTAGCGGTTAAGAGCACTGGTTGCTCTACCAGATGAACCTGAGTTCAATTCCCAGCACCCACATGGCAGCTAACACCTATTTGTAACTCCAGCTCCAGGGGATCTGACACTTCCATACAGACATACATGTAAGCAAAACACCAATACACATGAAATAAGAATCAATAAATATTTTTAAGAGAAATACTATTCTAATTCTAAGTACTTTCAGAATCATGCTAGAGCACAGAATTCTTCCACAATGGCTTTTAAGTACCTGCTATGTTCCTGGCACTGTGCTGGATATTTTTATTTAAAAATTTCAAAAATAAAAAAATGAAAAGTAAAAGTTTAAATGGTCCCTGCAAGCAGGCTAAAGCCAGAATACAGAGGAGAAAATAAAAGAGGAACAGATATATCCTAATATTTTCTATTCCAGTAACGAATTAGTCAGCAGATGTCATGTCATATATTAGTGAAACTTTTAAAAAGTAGTTTTGCAGTTGATAAAAGGGAACCCTGTAATTCGTATTTGAAAACCACTGATTTATTCCGTGTATGTTTGGTTCTTTAAAAGAACAACAAAAGATCTATATGGCTGAGCATAGTAATTTGTCCTGTAAGTTAGAATCAACACAGGCGATCTAGGTGGATTTTGGATCTGAATTCTATTTCCACACTAAGAGGAAAGCAGTTGTTCCTCTGACTCTATTTGTATCACTATAATCAAATTAAATTTTCTGATTTTTTTTCTTCCGAGACAGGGTTTCTCTGTATTGTTGTGGAGGCCTTCCTGGCACTCGCTCTGTAGACCAAGCTGGTCTCGAACTCAAAGAGATCCGCCTGCTTCTGCCTCCCAAGTGCTGGGATTAAAGGTGTGTGCCACCACACCTGACCTTTTTTTGGTTTTTTAAGACAGGGTTTCTCTGTGTAGTTTTGGAGGCTGTCCTGGCAATCACTCTGCAAACCAGGCTGGCCTCAAACTTAAAGAGATCCACCTGCCTCTGCCTCCTGAGTGCTGGGATTAAAGGTGTGCACCACCACGCCTGACCTTTTTTTGATTTTTTGAGACAGGGTTTCTCTGTGCAACTTTGGAGCCTGTCCTGGCAATCACTCTGCAAACCAGGCTGTTCTCAAACTTAAAGAGATGCACCTGCCTCCCTCCCGAGTGTTGCAATTAAAGGCATGTGCCACTACTATCTGGCTTTTCTAATTAAATTTCTATTTTGTACATCTACTTATCCCACCACTGACCTAACCAACAAGTAACTATCAAACTCTTGTTACAGAGAGGTACTATGTAAGGCTCTGTGCAATACACATAACACAGAAATTTTTGCTTTTTATTTATAGTTCTAAACTTACTTACTTTTCATTTCCTATTGTAAAGTGAAATATTTTCATTACCTGTCTTCATTTTCCACTTTCCTACATATCCATCTTTCTCCATCTACATATACATCTTTCTACATGTATCACCACTGCCTGATCCCAGATTTACTTGTGTGTATGAGTGTTTTGCCGGCGTGTGTATATCATGTGAGTGTCCATGGCGGTTGGAAGAAGGCATCAGATCTCCAGGAACTATAGTCAAGGATAGTCGTAGGCCACGATATGGGTAATGAAAACTGAACCTGTGTCCTCTACAAGAGCAGCAGTTGCCATCTCTCTAGCCCTTAGATGTATTTTATTATCAAGCAAATATTAAGGATACTAAGCCCCTCCACATACATGTTATGTACCCTTTGTTCTTTGAATACCAGCCATTGTACAGCTATAGCACAATCTATGCAGTTGTTGACATTTCCGTTGGTTTTAATATGCTATTCCTAACATTGGCAAAGTAAAAATTCATATTGAGATGCCTGTGGGATATCTTCCTACACACAGAATTTCTAGCATGTTTGTAATATTATGTAGACTTTTTGGCCTATCGTCCCTCTGTAGAAGCTTGTTTCTCCACAGACCTATCAACACCATGGTGAGCTTTGCTAATATAGAAGATGAAAACTGCTGTCTCAGTGTAGTCCTAACCTGCATTTCTATTATGAATGAGATTGGGAGTGTTTAAAAAGTCAGTTGTATTTCTGTTCTGTTTCTCTTGGGCAATTGAGATGATAAAAATTCTTCATCAATTAGAGAAATAACTTCTTTGTTCACAAGTCGAAAATATTTCTTTTCTCGATTTTGACTTTTGTGGTAGCTGTTGTCATGCAGAATTTTTTTTTTTTTTTACTTTATGGAATCATGTATTGTGAATTCTGTGATTTTGTGGAGTTTTTTGTTGTTGTTGTTGTTGTTTGATTGTTTGAGACAGGATTTCTCTGTGTAACAGTCCTGGCTATCCTGGAACTCACTCTTTAGACCAGGCTGGCCTTGAACTCACAGAGGTCCACCTGCCTCTCCAGTGCTGGGATCAAAGGCATGCGCCACCACCAGCAGGGTGAATAACAAGTCTTAAGAACACAGTAGGGAGCCGGGCTTTGGTGGCACATGCCTTTAATTCCAGCACTTGGGAGGCAGAGGCAGGCAGATCTCTGTGAGTTCGAGGCCAGCCTAGTCTACAAAGTGAGTTCCAGGACAGCCTCCAAGGCCACAGAGAAACCCTGTTTCGAAAAACCAAAAAAAAAAAAAAAAAACAACAACAACAACAACAACAAAACACACACACACACACACACACACACAGTAGGGGTAGGGAATGTGTCTTTTGAGTTAAAAACAGAATCATGGCTTTTATCCTTCCAGATTCAGACGCTGGTGTCCTACTTGTATAGCCCGTCTGTACCTCGTGGCTTCATCTGTAAAATCAAAAAGACAAACTGTACTAAGTTTGAGATGAAAATGACACGATTCATTTAAGCATTACTGTGTTAATGATGACGGCCATAGACAATTCTTCAACTTCGTAATTCGTACCCCACACTTCGTAATTCTAATCAGAAGGAACTGGGTAACAGTATGCATCAGTGCTTCTCAGATACCTCCTGGGTGGTTCTAACGGACACTGGAGGTCTGGAGCCTCTGTTCTCACATCAGACCAAGGGCTTCAGATGTGAAGAAAAGAACAATGAGGAGCACAGAAATGTTCTATGGGTCACAGGCTATGAACTTGTCAGAAAGGCATTAGAGCGAGGATGGGGAAGCATTGAGGGATGCCAGAGATGAAGAGGAAATCAGTTACAGAGGTGATTGTGTTTCATGTTTATGAGGAAGCGTGCTTCTCAGAAGAGTTTAGGGTGCTCACACCCTATACACACCCAGATAACCTTGCTAAGGGAAAGGGCACAGGGTACTTAGATTTGTCTTTTTTTTTTCCAGAGCTGAGGACCGAACCCAGGGCCTTGTGCTTAGCAAGCGCTCTACCACTGAGCTAAATCCCCAACCCCGGTACTTATATTTGTTAGGTACGTCGATGGAATGTGAAGAGAGGGTCAAGGCTAGCTGTTTAAGATTATTATTTCACGTTGCCTTCCTTGATAATTGATCCATATACCCCCATCTCTGGGGGATTGAAATCCTCAGTAAATCTCCAAATAAATTATTATTTCTGATAATCAGCAAGACAGCTCTATGAATTTTTGTAGTTTAGGAAGTAGTTTTTGTAGTTTAGTAATTTTTGAAGTTAGGAAGATTTGTAACAGTATTTTAAAAGAACTAGAGCCGGGCAGTGGTTTTGCATGACTTCAATCCCAGCACTCAGGAGGCAGAGGCAGGAGGATCATTGAATTCGAGACCAGCCTGGTCTATGGAGCAAGTTCCAGGACAGCCAGAGATACACAGAGAAACCCTGTCTCGAAAAACAAGACAAAGTAGAGCACACAAGAAAATTAGATAAAGTTATCTAATGTCATTGAAAATATGTGGTCTAAAAAGACTGTCCAGGGACTGGATTCTAGTTCCTAAGCTGCATTTCCTTAGGCACAAAATGAAAAACTGAAAAGGTTCCAATGGTTTCTTTTAAGGTAATTGAGAAGTCTCTCACAAAACCACTTTTAATCACATGACACTCGTCCTAGCTCCAGCTTTTAAAACTTGTATTTTTGACAATCTTATTTTGCCATAACTTGTCCAAAGCAGCATAGCTTCTCAAAATTGAAGTTTTCTCAAACTACACCCTGAGAATGTTAGACTAATACATACCTGTATCACCAGCATATTGATATCTGACAATGGTGTCTTCACCCCGATGGGTGGCTAATGGAGATGGGGGTGAGAGGGGCTGTTTCCTGGATAAAGTGGAGACTCCAAGTTCTGTTGTCACTCACATCAAGTCCCACAGATCCTTGATTCACAGAGGACCAGCTAGATCCTGGGTCTTCCTTCTGCATTTTTTTTTTTTTTCGAGACAGGGTTTCTCTGTATTGTTTTGGAGCCTGTCCTGGAACTCACTGGGTAGACCAGGCTGGTCTTGAACTCACAGTGATCCGCCTGTCTCTGCCTCCCGAGTGCTGGTTTTAAAGGCTTGCGCCACTAACGCCCGGCTTCCTTCTGCATCTTAATTTTTTTCTGCTCCTCTTTTTGGATTGCATTACTTGTGACTATTAGGACTCACACAATTTCTTGTTTAGGTTGTGCTTTGATCTCTCCATCCCAAGACTGTACTTTTTGGAGGCCGGAATACACCTGACTTTTTTTTTTAAGACTTATTTCATGTGCATTGGGATTTTGCCTGAATGCATGTCTGTGCGAGGGTGTCAGATCTTCAAGTTACAGACAGCTGTGAGCTGCCATGTGGGTGCTGGGAATTGAACGTGGGTCCTCTGGAAGAGCAGCCAGGGCTCTTAACCACTGAGCTATTTTTACAGGCCTGGAATGCACTTGCCTTTTACATAAGCTAGTAATTTGTCTTGGTACATAAAAGGAACTTAATAAATGTATAATTTAACTATATTTAAAATGGAAATGATTTTAATTTTTTTCTGTTATTTTAGCATTCATAGCTTATTTTACAGTATCTCCATAAAAAAACACAAAGTCCCATTTCATGGCAGTATATTTTGCTTCCTGAATATAGTATTGAGTTTCTTAATTTCACAAGTCAGGAATTAGTAAGTTAAAAAGTAAGGAAGTAGTCATGATATCAAAATACATAAATAAGTCATAGTAATTAAGTAAGTTAGAATAATTTTAAGAGAAACATTGAGCTGGGCATAGTGACACACTCTTGAAATGCTAGTACTCAGGAAACGGAGGCAGGAGGATTTAAAGTTTGCAATAGCTAGTACCAGGCCGGTTTGGACCATACAGCAAAACCCTGCCTAATAAAACAAAACAAACAACAAAAAAGAGGGGGCAAAGAGAGCTGTTATGTAATGAGACAGTTTGGTATGGCATCAGTTTGGTGACCGTAAACACATTCCGTGGTAGCACACTTGCCACCACAGGTGAGGCCTTGGTTCAAAACCCAGTACTGCCAGGCGGTGGTGGCGCACGCCTTTAATCCCAGCACTCCGGAGGCAGAGGCAGGAGGATCTCTGAGTTTTCAGCCTGCCTGGTTTACAGATGGGAGTTCCAGGACATCCAGGGCTACACAGAAAAACCCTGTCTCGAAAAACCAAAAAAAAAAAACAAAAAACAAAACTAAAAAAACAAAAACCCAAAAACCTACCAAACAAAACAAGAAACAACGAAAAAAGTACTGCAAAAAGTTAAAACTGTCTTAGTCACTGTGCTATTGCTGCGGAAAACAACAACAACAAAAAACACCATGACCAAAGTAACTCCTATGAAAGAAAGCATTGAATTGGGGCCTTGTTTACAGTTTCAGAGGCTTAGCGCATTATCATGGAAGATAGCACATCATCGAGTAGCTACACCATGTAGCATACTCATCATTTGAGTATGATAGCAGGAAAAATGATTTTGATAGTATTTTGGTGAAAGAATAAAGTATCAATTCTGATAGCATAATAAATGAATTTAAGTAGTAAATATTTGTATATCTAATAAAAATAAAACAAATACTTGCTCTTCAAATTTTTAAGAAATTTTAAAAATCACACTTATTTACTGGGGGGGTACATAGCTCAAAAATAGAAGGCAAAGGACGGCTTATAGGAGTGGGTTCTCTCTACTGCGGGTGTTTTGGAAATGGGTGGAGGTAGTCAGTCTTGGTGACAAGTGTCAACCCACTGAACCATTTGCAGGTCTAACCTTATTCTTTTTGATAACTTTAACAAGTTTTAAAATGTAGCAAATAATGAATTGTGAAATAGAAGTATTCAGAGAATTTGGCCTGTTTCTAGTTTACCAGTTACTTCGGCTTTTGAATTGTGATTTATACTGTGTATATAATACAGACCTCAGGCTGGGGGCCTAGCATACTTAAAGCCCTGGGTTCAACCAGAATCCCTCCTTCTCTCCTCTCTCTGTCTCTCTCTCTCTGTCTCTCTCTCTCTCACAGGGGTGGGGGTGGGGGGGAGTGACCTGTAAATTCAGTTTTCTTCTTGCCCCTCTTTCAAGCAACCGTTTCAGGCTCTTTTTTTTTTTTTTGGTTTTTCAAGACAGGTTTCTCTGTATTGTCTTGGAAGCTGTCCTGGAACTCACTTTGTAGACCAGGCTGGTCTCGAACTCACAGAGATCCACCTGCCTCTGCCTCCCGAGTGCTGGGATTAAAGGCGTGTGCCACCAACGCCCGGCTTCAGGCTCTATTATTTTTACCCGTGGAGGCAAAGGCAGATAGATCAGGGCAGCCTGGTCTACAGAGCGAGGGCCAGGAGAGGCTCCAAAGCTATACAGAGAAACCATGTCTTGAAAAACCAAAAAACAAACAAAAAACCAAAAACCAAACAAAAAACCCAAAGCTAGTGAACATTTTGAATAATTTCTAATTTAGAATATTCTTTTCAATTCAAAAGCTCCAACTCTCATAAACATTAAAATTGTTTGCATAAGTGAAAATTATTGATATGGGAAAATCGTTTTAAGAGACATTCCAGTAGCAAATCCAACATCGTTAAGATTCTAATCGAACTAAACATTGATCTTAAATTACTCATAGAGATGTAGATATTACTTTTTAAAGTGTGCGTTTAGTTTTTAAAAATGTGGGGGATCCTGTAAGTGCGATGGCATTTCAAACTTTTATCTTTTCCTGAGCTATCTAAAGCTTTGAATTGTTGTTAAGTATTAAGACGGACTGGTGTCAGGACGCTATTTTCTTCAAAATGGATGTTTACGCAGGCAAACATACTTTTTTAAGAGTTTTAGCAATTTCGTTTCTTAATTCTCCCCTTCTTCAAAATGCAATTTAAATCGGAATTGGAATCCCCTTGAATAGCTGAGCGCCGGTGGCACACGGGAAAAGATGAAGGCTTTATTTTTGTCAGCCATGTGTTTAGGGAACGCTGGCGCTCTCCCTAGATCTTCTGGCTGATAATCTCAAACATGGAGGATGCTTCTGATTCTTCACGAGGGGTTGCTCCATTAATTAATAATGTAGCTCTCCCAGGCTCTTCGCCGTCTCTTCCTGTATCAGTGACAGGCTGTAAAAGTCATCCAGTAGCCAATAAAAAGGTAGAAGCGAGAAGCGAAAAGCTCCTCCCCACTGCTCTTCCTCCTTCAGAGCCGAAAGTAGCTCAGAAACTTCCCAGGAGCGCGGAGAGGCGGGGAAGTGCCGGCGGGACGGGATCCCCTGCGCCGAGCCGGGCAGTTGCAGTGCAGGCGGCGGCGGCCGGGAGAGACTCCGGGGCGGGGCGGGTGGCCCTCGCGGCGCTCCTCGTGGGAAGGTGCGGCGGCGGGCCAGCGCTCGCAGGTGAGGGGCTCGCGGGCCGGGGTCCCGGGGCACCGGGAACAAAGCGCGGCGGCGCCCGGGATCCGTGGCCGCCCAGCCCGGAGATGCGCCGGGTCGGCGGGACGTCGAGCACATTGCGAGTCCCGGTGCTGCGGCGGCGGCGGCGGCGGCGGCCGGGAGCGGCGCTGGGGGAGGGGGCCGTCGCACCGCCCGCCGCGGGGCGCCCGCCCCATTGTGAGGCGCCCGCGGGGCGCGCCGGGGCCGCGGCCGCCCGACTGACAACGCTCGGCACCCCGGTGGCGGTGGCGGCGGCGGCGGCGGCGGGGAGGACCGGGCGCGTCAGTTCACACAAAAGGCGCTCGGTCGCTCCGGCGCTCCCCACCTTACCGGCTTTCCTTTCCCTCCAATTTGCTAGGGACGCGGGGCGGACGCGCGCAGCCGGGAGATGCCGCTGCTCCACAGAAAGCCGTTCGTGAGGCAGAAGCCGCCGGGGGACCTGCGGCCGGACGAGGAAGTTTTCTACTGTAAAGTCACCAACGAGATCTTCCGCCACTACGAGTAAGGCCGGCCGCGGCGAGGGCGCCGGGGCAGCGGGGACGGCCGCCCCCGCGCCCTTTTGTCTATGTCTGCTCTTTTCCTCTCCCCCGGGGCTCGGGACGGGTGGCCGGGCCGCCCCTCCCCCGCGCGCCGTGACCGCGTGGGGCGGCGGGGCCCGCGGAGGCCGGGGACTGCTCCGGGTCGCCGCCGCCGCGTTCGCCCGGCGAGCAGGCGGGCAGGCGGGCGGGCGGGCGGAAACTCCCCGCCTCGCTCCTCCCCGCCGCGCTCGGCCGCACGCGCTCGCCCGCCGGTTCCGGGATCCCCCGCCGGGTCAGCCGCGCGCCGCCGCCGCCGTCCCGCTGCCGGGCGAGGGAATCCCTGACCCCGAGGGCAGGAAACGGCCGGCCGGGGACTGGCTCCTCGCGGTCGCGCGTGGCTCCTGACGTTTGCGGGGTGGGGGTGGGTGCCGGGGCTAAGGTGGGGGACCCGGGGCAGGAGCGGAGGCTCGCCCCGCGCGGAGCGGCGGCGTGGGGGCTTCTGAGCGAGCCCGGGGGCCGGGGTCGGCGTCGGGGAGGGGGGTGTTGGGGTGGCGCTGGGGGCACGGGTGTCCGGAGCGAGCGGCGGCCTCGCGCCCCGCGCCGCCTAGGCCTGGGAGTGTGCGACACGAGCGGCGCGCTCTGTCACCGCCTCTTCTTGGTGACTCCCGTCCCCGGGGAACTTGTCGTCTCCGCCCCCGGGGAGACCGGCGAGGAAGAAGTCCGGCCGAGCGTGGGGGAAAGGAGCGGGAGACATTTGGGTCCCGGGCGCCCCGTTTGTCCTTTCGTGTGGACGAGAGCGCGGGGGCTGTGGGAGTTGGGACAAGTTCAACTCCAGCTTCAGTCTGTCGCCTCTTTACTCCCCCCCCCCCTCATGAGGTCCTCGCCTGACATGTGCCACTGCTTTTGTTTTGATAAGAACCAGAAGCTGCTGCTGCTGCTGAAGATGTAGCTTCAGCTCCCAAATTTTCAGGTCATTGCTTGGTTAGGGCCAAGGGCTCCACTTGCTCGGTGACACGGAGCAGTGAAGAAGCATGTTTCAGCGCTCAGTGTTCAAACAGGGACTCTTGAGTAAGAACCTGAATTGATCAGTCACAGGAACAGCCTGAACCTCCCCCCCCCCCCCTTTTCTCCTCCTTTATCCTCCACGCAGACGCTCTTTGTGGCTTAGAAACCGTGTGTTAATAGCAACCAAATACGACGTTGTGTGTAGGAGGATTTCAGAGTGGGGGGCTGGGGGAAAGGCTTAGTCCAGGGAGGTCCTTACTTTAGTCAGACTCCGCCACTGCCTGAGAAGGGAGTAGGGCGATCAGAAAAGTCAGTTCCAAGTCACACTGGCTCCCTTAGCTCCCTAGGGGTTGCAGGTAAACGTGTTATGTATAGAGGACTAGATAGTACTTTTAGCAAGCAGTCCCTTCCTTTAAGGAGCTCGGAGCGCACATCTCCCTGGGCTCCTGTTCAGACTTGTTTTATTACTTTGAGTGCACTCTTGTAACTTCTTAAGTGGATTTGAGTTGGGTAACTGTACAAGGATGATGTCTTCATATTTTCTTCTCAAGTATAAGCTGAAGTCTTTAGTTAACGATTCTGATTATTTTTGAAGTTAAGAGTACCTGGAAAAGAGTTAATAATTTTACATCCCAAACTCTTCTCTCCTCTGATATAAACAATCTTTGGAAAGGGCTCGCTCTTCTCACAGGAGACTGAGCAGGAGGTTTTCAAGTTCAAGGCTAGCTTGGGCGGCAGAGTGAGTTCTGGGCTGGTCTGGGTTACAAAGTAAGACCCTGGCTTAAAAAACAAACAGCGCCTGGGACCCAAACAACAAAAGAGGCTGCCTTCAAAGGAGAGGGCAAGGTAAATCTGACTTTTATAAAACCCCTGTAAATTAAACACTCTTGGTGTACTTTTGTTCCTGGTTTGAATTATTCTAATCATGGAGAAATCTGGCATGCTGGAATAAAAGTTTTTGGCAACCCAACACAAAAAGTGGGGAATTCCCATGCTTTGTGGTCTTAGGATATTAAAACATCTAAAGATGGCTTAAAGCAAACAAACAAACAAAACAACCTGTTTTCTTCCCAGTAGTGAAGTGTTGAGGCTTTGGGAGTTACAGTTTAAGAGAGTCATTAATTTGGTAGAAGAGATATTTGATCATTTGCCCTGAACAAAATGGCATCATCTCCCTAGATGTTTTAACCCTTATGATTTTTGAATTGGCTGT